CCTAAATGCAGAGAGTTAAAAAATTTTTAGTTTTTTCCTATAGAATGTGATTGATGTATTGTGGCTAACGCAAAGCTTTGTGTGATGATATGAGCAGCATGAGCATGTTGTTGAATTGCACGTGCATTGAAATGTACTTTGCTAGTTTAAAACTTAAGCTCAGTTCATGTTTTCAACGTTATAGACGCTGTGCTGTGAAAATAAACGGTCAAGCCACGATCCCGAATCCTTCCGTGTCGCTTTCTACCACCACCCACGATCATCCATAACACAACGCAGAGCAGTAGAGGCGGTGCTAGAGGCCAGTGAGCGCGCGGAGAGAGAGAAAGAGGGTTATATCTTTGGTGCCGTGACCCGGATGAGAGTGAGGTTTAGGGGGGTGAGTGTAACGGAGGCCAGCTAGTAGTTGCTGTGCGAGTAAACCTCACTCTCCGATCTCAATAGGCGCTCTAGCGACAGACGCTAGAGGCTGCAGTCTTTAGCCTCCTTGCTAGAGCGTCCGACTCTCACGCCGGAGATCCGGGTTCGAGGCCCGCTCGGAGCGGGGCGAGTAGGACCCGGGTGTGAGGGGTTACATTCACTTATAAATGAAAATTTCCTAATAATTTACTCACTCCAATGCTATCCAAAATATCCATATTTATCTTTCCTCAGTGGAAGAGATAATTATTTTTTTGAGGAAATCATTTCTGGATTTTTCTTCTAATAATGGACAATGGACACCAAAGTTTTGAAGTCCAAATCAATGCAGTTTCAAAGGTCTTTGAAGTGCTTCAACTGATTGCAGCTGAGGAAAAGGTTCTTATCTAGCAAAATGATAGTGGCACAGACACACCCACACCAGCTTCAGCTCCAGACACCTTCACTCCGCCCACTCGATCTGCTTCACCGGAATTCTAATCATCATCACCTGTCACCACCTCCCGCCTTCATCAATCATCCAATCTACCGTCACTATTTAAGTCACCCCAGTTCACTCAGTCAGTGTCTGGTCTCGTCTATACGCTAGACAAACGGACTCCAGCTTACCTGATTCCTCACCTACCTGATACTTACCTGCTTGAAGTCTCATCCAGCATTCCGGTCCAGATCCCATCTTCCTGCTCCCGTTCTCAGTCGGTCTTCAGTTCTGGTCATCCTGCATCAAGATAAGAGACTCTGTTTATTAACTGTTCATCCTGATATGCAAATCTCTGGCTACCGTTACTCACCTGGTTTTACTGATACATCTGTTTCAATAAACTCACTGAACTTACCCATCTGTGTCTTCCGGATTTGTGACAGAAGACCAGACCAACAAGATGCAAACACAGCCAACCACAACCGCTACTTCAACCCTACCGTCAACGCCAGCTATACCACGGATCGTCTCATCCACCCCCGCTACTTCCACCACGCCAGTTTCTTCGTCTGCCTCTGTCAGTCCCATGGCCCAGCCAGCGCCCTTCTCAGGCGAGGAGGGGGAGTGCAACTAGGGCTGTCGCGGTTATGGAATTTCCCTTGCGGTAATGTTGAGTGGCTCAATAGCGCGATATGCGGTATTACCGCCATTTATTTATTTATTTATTTAATTAATTATATGTTTTTGTTGCTATATAAATAATGTTTACGATGTGGACAAAAACGAGGACATTTTCAGTAACCAATGTAACCGAAACTAAACAGCGTCTACATATATGCGCATTGAAAGACTTTCACTCAGCGCGCATATTGTTATGACAACGGACTTTGAGCGAATCATTGAACCGTTCATTCAACGAACACGTTTAAAAAAGCTGATTCAACAAGATGTTATTTATTTTTAACTTTGAGATTCAACTTTTCAAGGCTCAGCGGAGCAGCAATGCGTCGCATAGGCAATGCTGAAGCTGATGCTTCACTTATTAGAGACCCATTGATTCAATGCGTGACTCACTGATTTTATTTCGGCTTCCTTGTGTTGTGGGATGCTGACCAGAGCTGCTGCTGACGTGGATTTATGGGAAAATACCCGTGAAGAGAACGTTAAAATGATGATTCGACAAATTTTTCGCTTCCCTTTGACACAAGCTTTTCACGACTTCAGAGACAGACGCAGGTAATTGCACGCGCAGCGCGTGACGCGCTCTGCCGATCTCTTTCATTCACTGTCTATGTGAAGCCTGTAGGCTACACATCACCATGATAAACAGTCTTGTTATCGTTATGAACTTGTTTAACATTCAATACACATGCATTAAGTTCAAAACAAGAAGGGTATAGCCTTATAAAAAAAAAAAAACGTGAATATCGCGGTTGCTGCGGTTACGTGCTATCCTCTGCGGTTGACTTGTCAGAAGCGCGGTACTACAATATTGCGGTTACCGCGACAGCCCTAAGTGCAACGGATTTATGTTACAGTGTGAGCTGTACATGGAGATGAATTCACATCAATTTCCAACGGAAGGATCTAAGGTAGCGCTTATCATTTCCCTGCTCAGTGGACGAGCCCTTCGCTGGGCCCACGCTCTTTGGAAGGACAATGGTTCGGTAGTTCAGACTTTTTCCGCCTTCTCAGCCCATTTTCTAGAAGTTTTCTCTCAGTCTAACAATACTATCTCCATACAAGATCAACTGTTCTGGTTAAGATAGGGAAATTCATCAGTTTCTACATATCGTCGCTGTCGGGCGGAAACCTCGTATGTCCAAATTTGGTCAATTTCATATTTTTTCACAAATCGATGCTATTGGTCAGTCTCCACGTGGGTCTGTTATTTTTACAAATTATTACCCAATCGAAAGTGTTGAAAATAGCTTGTGAGCAAACCTCTTAACTCCATTGGACACTTCAACTGTCTGTCAAACCTCGTAACTCCACCCCTTCTTCACTTGGCGCCACCGCACTGCCTGGGAGCTTCGTGGCATTTTTTCCCCTCAAGATTGGAAGTCGCTGAGCAACACGTCCTCTGAGGTAAATGTCCTTATTCATGATTTAGTTATATGAATTGTATAATAACAGTTTATATATTATATAACAGTTTTATCTCGATCGAAGTAATGGTAGTGCAAGTGTAATGTAGTCTAATTATGTTGATTTCTGAGGATGCTAGATTTTTCTTTCTGCTATGTCTTGCATTAGACGGTAAGTTAGCTAAGTTAACTTATCATGTTGATTGAAGTCTTCCATGGTTTTGTTTCTGACGAGGAAATTTAATTTAAACCGCAAAAATTGCCTGTCGTTGACTTAGTTAGCTGCTATGTAACGTTATTGGTTTTGTCATCATTTTAGCTGCTAGGTGAGATAGGCAGCTAGCGTGATTTTCGTGGGGCTTAAAGGAACACTCCGACTTTTTGGGACTTTAGCCTATTCACCTTACCCCCCAGAGTTAGATAAGTCCATACATACCTTTTTCATCTCCGTGCGTGCTATAAGTCTGTTTGACGCACCCACCGCTAGCCTAGCTTAGCACAAAGACTGGATGTGACTGGTTGCAGCTTTCATACTGATCCAAATGAGTGGCAAAATAACGCAAACGTTTTCCTATTTACATGTTGTGATTTGTATAGTCACATAATGTACAAATAACAAAGTCAAATGAGACACAGACATCTTTTAACCGTATAAAACCTGGGAACTATTCTCTGAAGGCGAAGCACTGCTACTTTGACGGCGTAATAACCGCATCACCGGAGACACGCCGTGGTGAGGAGCGGAGAGTTCGCTCGGTGTTTGGGTAATAGAGTCAGCAATTTATAAATAGTAAAAGCGTAGTTTAGAGTCATGGGTTTTCGCTCTATTGTAAATAGCTGCGACTGTAAACAGGGGAGGTAACCATGTTTCACAGAATTCCAACTAAATATGCTGACTGGATGAAGAAATGGCTAACTTACTCTGGATATTTATCCAAACACACCTAAGATTATCAAGGGACATTATGTTTGCTCGGTACATTTCAATGAGGACGACTATTTTGAAAAAATGGAATTTGCCACACGGATCATAATGTGCTGAAGGATACGGCCATCCCATCGATAGCACAGACAGGACAAGTGGATCACCTGCGGCTGAGGTAAGTGTTCCGTTATGTTTTTAGATGACCTACTGTAACAGTGCCTTTAGCCAGATCTAATGTAACGTTAGTGACACTATTATATGATTAGGGTATGAATATGTTTTTATCTTGATGCGGTGCGGACGCGCTTGGGGAAAATAAACTAGCGCGTTCACCGCGTTGAACTTGCACCCTGCGCGCGGCGCGCCTAGCCTAAATTTGAAAACCATGGAAATAACGAACTTGAGCGTGCAAAAGGGTACGATAGGCTGTGAGTTCATTGTGCAAAAACAATTTGTGCTATTACTTTCCCCTTATTCTATCCTATAGTAATGCAATACTGTATATTATATAGGCTACTGTTGAATACATTTGGTTCAGCTAATAAATTGCATTTAATATATATTGATTCCTGTAATAATAATTATTTATTCATGTGATATTTATAAATCTGGGTGCGTTTTTGGTTGGAAATCAATGAAACATGGTACTGTATTACCTGGTCTCCCCTGTTTATTGTTACAGCTCATACAATAAAGCAAACACCCATGATAAACTATGCTTTTCTATCTAACGTTAGTAATTGCTGACTCTTTATTCCAACGCTGAGCGAAGCGAACTCTCTGCTCCTCGTCACGGTGCGTCTCAGGTGATTGTTATCACTCTGCCCAAGTAGCAGTGCTTCCCCTTCAGAAAATATAGTATTTATACGGTCAAAAGATGTCTGTGTCTCATATGGCCTTGATATTTGCACACTCTGTGACTATACAAACCACAACATGTAAATAGGAAAACGTTTGCGTTATTTTGTCACTCATTTGGATTAGTATGAAAGCTGCAACCATTCACATCCAGTCTTTGTGCTAAGCTAGGCTAGCGGTGGGTGCGTCAAACAGACTTATAGCACGCACGGAGATGAAAAAGCTATGTATGGACTTATCTAACTCTGGGGGGTAAGGTGAATAGGCTAAAGTCCCAAAAAGTCGGAGTGTTCCTTTAAATAAAAATTTCTTGACCCCTGCTAACGCTAGTTCTGGCACTCATCTGAGGAACAACATAATAATTTAATGTGCTATGTCAGGATTGTAGCTTACAATTTCAAGGCATTCCGTCATGTTCATCACTTTAAGCAAGCTAGCTGGCCTCTTGCCTTGTTATCATACGTAAACATGCCATATAACTTAGTGAAACGATCATTTGACCTTTATTTATTTTATTTTTTGCAGCAACCATGTCTGTGTCCTTAAAGGAGCTCTGTCAGATGGTCAATGTGTCATATGATCAGGCAAGGGCCCTAATAGACCGCGAGACCTCTGATGGAGATAGTGTAACGTTGAGAGAGAGGAAGCAACAGTGGTGGAGGATACAGTGGTGCATGCTGGTAGAGTGAATTTCTGAGAGATAATCATGATTTCACATGCCAAAATGAATGAGTTTTAATGCAGATGTATTTCACAACAATAGAAATAAAAAAAAATCAGACTAATTGTACGATGTGTTTGAAAAGATTTATCTGGTGGTCTGGAGGAAGAGGAGGCCTCACTGCTGGCTCCAGACCAGGTGCAGTTTGACACGGGTAGGTTTGATGCTTTTCTACATTTTCTCATTAAATTGGATAAGGTCCTTCAACTATAGCCCTCACTGTTGACAGTTTATAAAGATGTAACTCATTCATGCACGTTTGGTTTGTGTGTGTATTTTGAAGTTTTCCATGGTGCAGGCGATGAGGACTCGGATGCACAGCATTCATGCTCAGATGCTAAGGAAGACGCACCTCCAAGGAAAAGACTGTGAGCTTACAGATCTTACAGTGATTATGTTGTTGTGTTATATTTTGTGCTATTAGGTACAACAACAATGGAACGATGGACTTCAAAATCAACCACTCAGATGACTGGAATTCACATCCACGTCACCAACTCCGAAACTCCACCTCAGACAGCCACCCCACTCTATTCAGACCGCCTGAAGATCACAGAGCTGAAATTCAAACACCTCCAAGACCTGAAGGAAGTCATCCCAAAGGACTTTCACAGCTTTTATGACAATTTACTTCACTAGCTTAATATAGGATGCAGTATTAAAGGAGAACTGGCAAAATGAACCTGGGGTTTAATAACACATTGATACCGAGTCGACCGTTCTCTGGGATTTGTTTTCATGATAATCGAATGTAAAGAGTTGTATCTCTAAAAACTGCTTTTCTTTGGATAACTCTGTCTCTGTCTGTTTTTTAGGTAATAACGAGTGAAAATAGTTAGGTTAGATACATTTGAGTAGGCCTGTTTTGTTAAAAATCGAAAGCTGTAATGCTTAGGTGCAGAAGGAAGCCCGTAAGCCACAAAGGTAAGTTTGCGTGCAGATTAGGCTCATTTCCGCCTATTAGACCGCCTAGTCAGCTCGTTTTTTGTGTGTATTGCATCACTTTTAGCTCATAAACTTTTAAAATAGAGTTTATGAAGATATGTAACCACAACCATAAGCTTAGATTAGCTCTTAAAACCTTGTCTCGTCAAAAGGCTCAACGTGACCGCGGACTTAAATGAACTCTGCTGGTAGCAGCAAGTCTGCGTCGTTCCATTCTTATCAATGACAGCGAGTCTCGTATCTCCCTGCTCCCAAGTCATAAACCTCGGATCTCCGATTAAACTTGATTTTGGGGAAATGTTGTGTTAATGTTGGTACACAACTGTATATAACAGCAATATAAGGTATAATACCAACTTTAACGATACAATGTTTAATAACTCAAATACGCAGTTTTGTTTATTTCCTGAAAAATTATGGTTTTGGAGATGCGAGGATTCCGTCCGACAGCGACGATATGCTCTACAATTTCGCACTCTAGCGGCCACCGTAGGATAGAGCGAGACGGCGTTAATTACTATCTACCGACATGGTCGAAATCCAAGCTCCAAGCTTGACCTCCGGAGCGCCTACAATTTGATCAGGATCCGTAAAGGTGACGAGTGGAAAACCGCTTTCATTACACCAGCAGGACACTATGGTACTACTAATGTGCGTCCTCTCAGCCACTCTCGAAAGCAAACAAACATATTGTTGTGCGGTGCTTTCTCTACTAATGCAGCATTTAGTCAACAAATTCATCAGTTTATAATGATATGACAAAATTTCCTGTGTACATACCTTTTCGCTGTCCGTGCTTTAGCACGCGCATCAGATGTCAGCGATCTCGCATCCAATCAATGCAACCTTCAATGTTTGAAGGCTAGTCCATTCAAGATGGCGGTGGGTGAGACAGGTGTGCTTTCCGCTCTCCTATTGTATTCTCTATTATCAAGCCTTTGTGTAAATCAAACTGAAAACATTGAAGTTAATCTTAAGAGAAAAAATATTTCCTCCCAATGCCAAGGAGTTCAAATTTATATCAGTATGAGTTCAAAAACAACGGGCACAGGCTACAAACATTTCGGCTTGGAAGAGGTGTAATTCATGCTTGCGTTTGGGCTAAGTCTCCTCATATTGGGCAAAGGCGAAAACCCCGAGCCATGAGAAAACGCCAAAATAACAATGGTTTGATAATCTTGCTCTACTTATTGCTATCTGGCGATATACACCAATGCCCTGGTCCAGAGACTGCACTCGGAGAAAACCTCCCAAAAAAGGTACAAACAGGGGAAGCGATTAGCCACCTAACGTTACCACTTGTTGCGGTCGAGGATGTGGACCTGGGGGACGGGCTGTCTTTGGGTCTGATGGATGCGTCGTCCGGTGTGGTTTGCGATGCGGCTGGCGGATGCTAGCGACCGTGGCGGGAGATGCCTGGTGCGAGCGCGGCTGTGGACGCGGGGGCCGGCAGATGCCGAGTGCCGGGACGGATGGGTGTGCAGCTGCGGTGTGCTGCTGAGGCTGTGGTGCCCAGCGCCGGTGGATGCCGGGCACCGAAGGAGACGAGGACGGGTCGGCTGCGGTCAGCGGAGTCTCTGACGCCTGGAGGACGTGCAGCACTGACGGGTCTGTTGCCTGGGGGGGGAGAGGAGGCGGACACTCGCTATGTTTGTCTGGAGACACCGGGAGTATCGGCTGTAGATCCGCTGCCGAAGGCCATTACCGTGAGAAGTAACAACTTGGTCTTCACTGAGGAACTACTATCCGTTTTTGCATCGAAGAGCCTTCATTGTTTTCATTTAAACATTCGCAGCTTACTGCCAAAGATTACGGAGGTACGTGACCTGGCCAGGAAAATCAATGCAAGTATACTATGTTTTTCGGAAACATGGTTAGATTCTTATATCACTGACTCCGAAGTTGAAATTGAAAACTTTGTAATCATCCGTAAAGACCGGAATAGACAAGGGGGCGGGGTTTGTATATATGTGAGGTCTGATATTGATTTCAATCTAAGACGGGACTTAGATATTGTAAATCTTGAAGCTGTGTGGATTGATATTTTATTTCCAAAAAGCAAACCAATTTTGTGTGGTGTTGCTTACAGACCGATTTTATCAAAACCTTGGAATGTGTTAGTGCAGGCTGTCATAATTTTTTTAACCAGGAAGTCATCTTAATGGCAGATAATAATATTGATGTTTTAAATACAGAAGGTCCATTATATAATGGCTTTTGTGATTTTCTGAAAATGCATGGTCTAACCCAATTAATTAGTGTTCCAACCAGAATAACTGAGAATAGCCAAACTGCTATTGACCACATCATTGTATCTGAAACAAGTAAAATTTTACAAAGTGGGGTCATTGTCTATGGAATTAGTGACCATTTTTTAACTTATTGTACCAGGAAAGTTAAAAGGGCTCAGATTAAATGTCACAAATCTGTTAAGAGTAGAAGTTTAAAAGGGTATACTGTTGATAACTTTCAAGACATACTAAATAGTATCAACTGGACGGAAATTACTAATATATGTGATGATTTAGCATGGAACTATCTTATCAAGAATTTCTAAGAAAATGGATTGAAAGCGATTCCATCAAAAGAGACTAGAATTAAACAAAGATCACAGCCTTGGATAAATGATGATATTTTGGACACTATTCACTTAAGGGATAAAATATTAAGTGAGTTTAAAAGATCCAAACTACCTGCTCTTTTTAAGGAATATAAGGTTCTTAGAAATAAGGTTCAGCGAATGGTGGATGAGGCGAAAAGGGATTTTTTTAAAGTCTAAAATTGAGGAGCATAAAAAGGATCCCAAGAAATTGTGGGAAACTCTTAGGCCTTTGGGGACAAAAGAGAACCCTAAGCAAAAACAAGGTAAAATAGGCCTAGATATAAATGGATCTCTATTGTATGACAAAAAGTGGTGGCAGATACTTTTAATAATTTTTTCACAACAATTGCAAGTAATCTGGTACAGAAGCTTCCTTCTGTGTCAGGTGTTTTTAGTGACCCACAGAGGGTACACAAGTTTTATGAAGAGTCCAGTCAAATACTTTTCATTTTAAAAAAGTGACAGAGGAGATGGTACTCAAAAAACGAATCGGTTACCTAACGTAACCTCGGTTCCCTTTCGTAGTCACTTCGAGTTACGTCAGAAGTGACGGAGATTGGGGGTTTCGCATAGAAAGCCAATCCTCTTCGAGTATTTAAAAACGAGCCAATGGCATGCAATGCCTTGGGGCTGCGGAAATTTGCATAGCGTACTCCGCCCTACTCCGTGAGTATAAAAGGAGGAAGTGAACGCAACCGCAGTATGTTTTCGCTTCGGAGCCAAGAGAACCTTTTCACTCCTGAAAGCCATTCTCACTGTTCAAGACTCTTCGAGACGAGCGTCCTCTTCAGTGTTGGTGTGACGGCGGTACCCAGCGAGATTCTGCATCGCCTGCGATCTGAGCAGTGGTCTGCCAGACTTTGCGCTTCTCCCTGGTCGCCTCAGCGCTGAAAGAGTGAATTTCCTCCTCTCTAAGTGAAAGAGCTGCACGCGGTACGTCTTTTTAAAGACGACTCGCCCGTGTTCTTCTGGGTGCGGTCGTTTCATGTCATTTTCTGATGGTCGCGATCGCTGCTCTGTGTGTGCCTGGGCTTCAGCATGCAGTAGCAGCGTTCGCGGATGACTCATGTTCCTTCTAAAGGGGAACATGAGCATCTCTACACTGTGATCGAGACTCAATGATCTGATAGTGAGAGTCCCCGTGTCCGTTACTCGTTCTGCTTCTAAAAATAGAAGCTCTTCGACTCGCGGATAGGGTGATATGACGGTGAATGTGTGACACTCCCCCCGACGTTAGTTAAAGCCTCGGGTCACACCCACCGCTCCAGTGTTAGAGCCAGTGAGCGCTGTATCGCTTCAGACGTCTGCCTCTCTGAGGTACCGTCTGTTTCGTTCAGCGCTCCAGAGAATGATGCGATGACGATCGCAGCATCACAAGGCGGGCTTGACTCCTCGGGAAGTGAGGATGCGGCCGCGTTGCCTCCCTCGGGAGCGTCGGCGTCGCCGTGTCTGATCCCGCGATGATGGCCATGCTATCTCGGGCCTCCGTGAGCATCGGGTGGGAGTGAAACTCCGCCCTATCCCGATCTCTCGCGGATGGATAATTGGTTTTTGGGTAACGCTGCCGCCTCACGGCCACGGCCAACCCCAATTTCCTTTTTCCCCGAGTTGCATGCGGAACTGACACGCACTTAAAAAAAAAAAACGAGAGCTTGCTTCAGTTTCCCGCCCTTCCTCCCCTCGGCGATGCGGCTGTCTGTGGGTACGCTGGGGCTCCCCCGGTGGAACGCTCTGTTGCGATGCAGCTGCGTCCGCAGGGCGCACCCGCGGTTGCTCTCAGATGCCCCTCCAAAGCCTATGGGTTCTCGTCGTCTATGGCGGCGCGATTCTGTAGAGCGGCGGGACAGGCAGCCTCCGCCCTGCATATGATGAGCACCTACAAAGCTAGCTGCTCAGGAATGTGCACGAGGAGAGGACGGACCAAGCGAGCTGCGAGCCTGCCGCCTACCTTGCCCTTAAACGGGTCACGGAAGCGGTCGCTCGCTCCCTTGGTCAGGTGATGCCCACCGCTGTGGTCCAGGAGCATCATCCAAATGTTCGGCGGTGCGGTCCAGGACTTTGCCCAGCACTTCTCGACCGCCTAGAAGCAGACGAAGGCGGTTTCTCTGCCCCAACGGCCAGCTGCTGCCTCCAACCAGCCGTCGGCTCAGACGCCTCCGCGCGCTCGCCGCCGAGG